GAAATACATTTAGTAAATTTTAACATATGGATATAATGACATCAAAACACTTTTTGAATAACTACCCAATGGTAGCACTTTAATTAAATATGTTTTATAAAAATTTTGTAAAAATCCCAGTTTGACCAAGAAATAAGTTTTTATAGCTTTAGGTAAGTAAAATTACCTCCCCGGACAAATAAAAAATGTGACATGGGACCCTTTACCTCTGGGGAAGAGATTTAAGTGACTTTTTTTTTATTATTTCTTAATGATATTCACAACTATATTAAAGAAATACATATAGTAAATTTGAACATATGGATATAATGACGTGAAAACACCAACTGAATAACTACCCAATGGTAGCACTCTAATGATATGTCTACATTAGAAGATCACGGGGCCATCTTCTTTTCAGACGCCTCGGAGGGTTATCAGGAATTGAAGAGGAAGCAAATTTAAAAACGAGAGGGTTGGGATGATTCTGAAGTTCATTATGGAAGGATAGGTATCTGGATTGGGCCAGATATGAAACATAAGAAACATTAAGGTCGTTATGGATGGTTTTATTTGTAACAAAGTAGGGAGCATTTAGGATTTTACGAAGCATTTCGGATTGTAAGGATTGGATGCGAGAAAAATACGATGGTTTAGTGGAGCCCCATAGCTCAACTCCATAAGTCCAAATAGGCCTTATTATAGTCATGCATATGAGTCTTTTGTAATTAATTGGAAGTTTAGAGCGTTTTTCTAGTAAGTTCTGAAGTAATAGGAAACGTCGAGCATTTTTAACATTTTTAATAGCTCAAAGTAGTGGACTATTGCCTCCTTTGGACAAATAAAATAATGGACATGGTGCTCTTTATTTTCGAGGTACAGATATGTAATTGCGGAGATGTCGTACAATAAATTAAATAGGTTAACAAAAGTTTTTATTCCATTGATTATCTTACATCTCCTAACTTAGTTGAGAAACATAAGAAAGTACACATTTTGCCAGAGATAGTTTCATGCGGCAGCGGTCTCAGGCAAAAGACTAGCCATATAAGCTAAGTAGATGACACCCGAGGCAGTGGAGGGCAGCGATATCTGGGAGTGGCTAGGCCTAATAGAGGCGGCTCATACAGAAGTGGTTGGTCCTTCATGCATCATGCATCCCTCGCCCGCTCTCTCTTATATTCCTCTCGTGTCCCTGGCATTGATTTATTCCTCCGAAGGGAGGAGTATGATCTGGAGAGAAGCCTGTGACGTCGAATAACAAGAAGTTGAGGAATGCAGGGAAACGGAAGAGAAATATTCAAATGTCCACAGTTCCCAAAAGGAACAGAACGCAGTTTATTTTTCTCAGGTGAAAATTATTTTTAAAAATCTGATTGATGTAGATCTTACCATGAACAAAAAAAGTACGTTGTTCTTTTTTATAACTAAATATGAAACCTCACACATCAATGCTTAGCCTGAAAGAAGAATATGGATATAAATAGTGCCCCGGAAGTGGAGGTACATCTTTGAATGATTGATAGCAGACCTCAAGGATAATAAAGAAGTGTATATAAAAAATGGTCCTATTTTCGCCAAGATATGTTTGTGGCTCAAGTACTCTCTCTCTTAGGCTCCACTGGCCTCCAGTCCAGTGACGCGGCTGGAAGAGAAGTGCTATGACCTCCTGGAGGCGATCTTTGCCTCTTGGAATTTATTATTTCTGCCTTGGAATTTATTTTACTTTTAACTATTATTAATTTATTTTTCTTTAATTATCTTCATTTATTTTCTTGTACGTACATATTGAATGAGTAAATACTTTTAGCTCTAATACATATTCGCCTTAGCTCTGACAGATTGCGTTAATATTTAATAAATAATTTTAAAACTTTTGCAAAGAAGGAGGAAATTTGCTTTGTTTTCCCCTTTTATTTTCAGCAAATATGACTAAAATAAATAAAAGACTCAATTTCATTTTTCCATTACCTGGGATGTTATCATAAACATATATTCATAAATACACTTCAAAACAATCATAAATGTATCCTCCGCACAACTTACTTTCCTCTCATATAGAAACACACTATAATCACCCTAAACCAGGTAAACCTGTTAATAATACCTCATCCTATAGACCAATAAGCTTACTCTCGATCCTCTCAAAAATCTTTGGAAAAATGCTTCTCAAATGTATCCTATCCATTCTCGAAACCCACAATATCCCTTCCCATCAGTTTGGATTCCGCTCAAGACATTCCACTGTTCAATAAGGCCTTCGCGGTGTTGGCCATATATCCTCTACGCTTGAAAACAATCAATATTGCACTGGTGCCTTTCTTGACGTAGCGCGAGCTTTTGACCAGGCCTGGCACGATGGCTTGCTTTTCAAGCTTAAAACCCACTTACCCCATTCCTAGTCCTCAAATCCAATCTTTCAAATCGTTCTTTTTTAACTCAGTACCTCTTCCCATCTCAGACACCGTTCGTTATCTTGGATTCCTTTTAGACAAAGGAATAACATGGAATCCTCATACCAGACTTAAAAGACAAGACCTTAATCGACGATTTCTAACTAAAAATCTAACCTCTCAATTGAAGATAAACTATTAATATACAAGACCATACTGGAATCAATCTGGCCCTTTGGTCTTGAACTGTGGGGAACAACTGAATTTTCGAACATCCAACGCAAACAATGCTTCCAGTCTAAAGTCCTCAGTATAATAGTCAATGCTCCTTATTATGTTACGAACAAAACCTTACATCATGATCTTATAACAAACACAAACTTTTTTTTTCCTTTTGTAGAAAAATAGTAATCTATTATGTAATCATGGGCATAACCAAGGAAAAAATTTGTACTTTTTTATGTGTTATTCGCTAATAAAGTTTGTTTTCTTTCTTAACTTGTTTGCCTGACTTTTCGAGGTGATTAGACTATTTTGCTCACCTGAAGGGGAAGAAAGCCTTCGAAAATAATGGCTCAATCTTGAGATTCGGTGAAGAATTAACGATGATATGCCTTGGCCATCAAAAATACCATCGATAAATAATATAAACTCCTCCCCTCTCGATCATAGATGCTCCAAGTAGAAGAAATAAGACATGTATTCCATGACAGTACTGCAATTACCGTAAGGTTGTGTGGATGCGAACCCTATGCCTTGCATTTTCTCGAAAATTGTTCTTTTTGGGGCTTAAAAACGCAGGCTACTTGTTGTACGTATCAAAATCTTCAAGGTCCAATTTACCACGTTCCAATCTACAGACCTACAACCGTTCCAGTATTGAAGCCTAGCAAAATGTTTGTATCGACTTTATTTATTTTAGAAAGAAAAAAAAAGTGGAGAGTATGATTCGCTAACCACTCGCGAAATTCTGAATCCAACGGTACGCCATTCATAGTATTTGAGCGTAACAGGAGCTTATATGTGGTACAAAACCGTGTTATAGCCTTATTGTAATAATATATACTAGTAGGCCTGTGCGAAAAATTTGCGTACAGCATATTGTTTTCAAATGCCAAATTACTAAGACAATAAAATAATGCATCGTATCAAAATATGAAGAAATCAATTGTTAGTTTATATAATATGGGCATAACCAAAGGAAAAGAGTGAATTTTTTTAATTATTCGCAAATAAAGTTTGTTTCCTTTCATAACTGTGAAAAATTAACGATGATATGGCCGGCCAAAAACACCATCGATAAATAATATAAACTCGTCCTCTCTCAATCACAGAGACTTCAAGTCGACGAAACGAGACATGTATTCAATGACATTACTACAATTAATGTAAGGTTGTGTGGATGCGAATCCTATGCCTTGCGTTATCTCGAAAATAGTACGTTTTTGGGCTTAAAAACGAAGGATCCGATAGTTTCGGAAGAACTATCCGGGTCTTGCTGTACGCTTCAAAATCTTTAAGATCCAATTTGTCCCATATCGATCTACAGACCTACTACCGTGCCAGTATTGAAGCCTAGCAAAATGTTTGTGTCGACTTTATTTATTATAGAAAGAAAAAAAAAAGTGGAGAGTATGATTCGCTGACTACTCGCGAAATTCTGAATCCAACGGTACGCCATTCATGGTATTTGAGCGTAACAGGAGCTTATATTTGGTACAAAAACGATTTCGAGCCTTACTGTAATAATATATGTGGGGATATGGGGGGATAGGGATTTACGTTATATGAAATAAATAAACAATCCCTATCGTTCCACTGATCCCTACAATCCTCCTCGAAGGTTAAAGCGGCAGTGGCCCAGAGATCTTTTGTAGTGTATATCTTGGAGTTCTGGCAATCGTCAGATTCTCCACTCAAGACAAGTGGCTAATGTGCTCTCGCTTAAACTCCACTGGCTTTAGCACAGAGATCTCTTAGCGTCCTGCTTTTCTTTCTATAGTTAGAGGGAGAAACATGGCTTCGGGTTCTCTGCATGATTGTATATATTGTATATAGGTATGACTGTGGTTTATGTTTTTAATTTACTTATCTTTAGGTTATTTTACTTTATATTGAACATAATTGTTTTTTTTATTATTATTTTACTTTTGTTAATTTTATATTTTCTGTATATATGGTGTGAATGTGTTCATATATCGCTATAATTATTGTCTGCGAGACAGATTATTATATGTCTAAATAAATAATTTAAAAATAAATAAAGAACAAAATCGCGATACTTTCAATATTTCTTTGTAAATTAACAGAGAGATAAAAGAAACACATAGCAATTAACCTCCTCATCTGTCCAAAAATGTATGTTGATCACTTTTACAGGGCATATTATTTAAGTAGTAAAAAACAATTGACCCAAAAGGAAATAATAAAAAGTAATATATTATTTTATAAAAAACGCAGTTATTGAGCCAGACATGCTTCAGTTTTTATTACAAAAACGTCTGACAATGAAAGGTGATACTAGTACTAATTATCATATCTTTGAAGCCAAGGGTAATGTTGAATAACTTCGTTTACTATAAATATCAGCTGTTCCTCTTTTTCTGTCACTTCACCAGAGATTTATTCCAAGGATGGGTCAGGCTAGAGGTGTGTTAAAGGTAATAAATGCATAAATATATTTATCCATATTAGAGGTGTGTGTAATAAATATATATATATATATATATATATATATATATATATTTTTTTTTTTTTTTTTTTTTAAATTTATTTGTGACTAGTGAACCCCGGTGAGAACTCTCATATTTAATAGGTGTCTTTGAATAGAAAGGAAGAAAAAAAGTAAATCAAAGAAAAATGGCAATGAACGGGAGGAATTACATTTAAAAAAATACATTTATCTAATGCATTAGCCGTATAGAAAGAGGTTGCCTTGTAAGTCTGATGGCTCCTTTTTCATTTCATACCAAATAACTGATATAAATCGAGTCATGAATAAAATTTGGCCCTGTTGACTGGTTTTGATTTTTTGAAGTATCTAAAGAAAGTTATATTATTGAAACGTGTTGTAACCTTAATAGTTGTTTTAAAAATAAAACATTATTAAATTGACTTATATTAGTAGTTCTATTACTATTTAATGATATCTTGTTACAAAGTTATACAGACCATGTTTGACTTTATGGAAAAAAATCTCTTTAGTTTCTAAATAGATTTTTAAATTATCCAACTACTTCTTCCTCCACTCATTTTTTTTTTGGGCTCTGATTATTTTCAATATTTTTGATCAAAATTAACTGTACCCTCTACAGTATTTTAATGTTATTTTTACATGCTACTTTTATTTTTCAAATCTTCAAGAGGATTTCTAAAAAAGCAATTTTACGGGTTTTATTACAAAATTAATTTTTTATACAAAAATCTTAATTTGGCTATCATCTCGTATTGAAATTCAATGACCCAAACCATTAAGTTTCCTAGACACACCTAGTCAGTTGTATATCATTTTGACACTTGGTTAGATATAAATCAAGAATATATAAATCTTTAATCATTAAAGACTCCGCTATGAAGGAGATGTGCATATGTGATTACCATGATAGTTTATTCATCACACACATTGGTGAATCTTCATACATTACAACGACTTTTAAATAGTTTGACTCTTAAAACAGATTGACCAAAGATGGCTTCATCATTGCCAATTTCTGACGCATTACATTATTTTGGTTACAATACGATTTGGCATCAAAGGTTTATCCAGGATTTAAGAAGCTGTAGTGTATCAAACCAAATGAAGCCCACCAAACATTAACCAACACCTTTTTTGGGGGGCTTTGGTTAAAAAGTTTTTATACAATCGGAAGTGCTCAAGAGGTCATAGTGCTAATCTCCTCCATCTACCGTTTCAATAGATTTTAATAAGTCGAAGGCTATCCTAAATGCAACATTTTAATTTTTAAAATCTTTAAAACCTTATTTTTAGGTAATCATAAGTACCCAATGACTACCATATCACACAAGAGGCTTTCGGCAAGAATATCTTAAAATCACAGTTATACGTTTCAAATATGATGGTCTTTATTTCCGAGTCGAAATCTTTAAATAAAAATTTATCCTATCCTTATCCGTCTACTTTTGAAACCATGTGATTTTTAAAACCTTCTAATTTTTAATCATTTTGAATATCTTAGTTGTAGGGATACGAAGACCGAAATCAGGATTCCTCATTTCTTCATGAAATTCTCTTTCGTTTGATTCCTCATTGAAAAAAGAAACATCGCTTCTGAGAGCACGAAAATAGATCTATTCTACCGTAGTACAGATTGCTTTTATTGTTCAGAAAAATCTAAACACATAATCATTAGAATAAATCATAATAATTTTTTTTGTCTTCAATTATTTTTCATCGCAGGCCAACAAACTGTTAAATATCAGCAGATGGTCTGAACAAGTAATGAAACTGACATGTTAAGAATAATGATGGATAGATCCCAGCTAGTGTTGCCCAAATGCTCGATCGAGATTAGTCTTGGTCTTTCAAACTCAATCTTGGTCTTGAGCAAGAGTCTTGCAACAGTCTTCTTATTTATTAGCTTATTGCAACAGATAATATTACTGTAATTTTTTAGATAGGAGAAACCTAACTAAGCCCGAATGAAAAATTAGAGGAGTTAAATGCAAAAGTATATTGGTTTTACCAATTATTAACACATAGTAACTAAAATTGTCGAGTATTAGTAACTATTTTGTCTTAGTTTTTATTTAAAAAATCGATTTTTTTACCAGTCCTGGTCTCGGTCTCGCAACAGTTAGGCGGCTTTGTGCAAAGTGCAAGATCAAGACCGATTTTGGGCAACAATACACCCAGCAGTACCTGTTTCCAAGCTTGATTCAATTATCTTTGATTGTTAAGGAGGTCTCTCAACTAGCACCTTTTTAGTATCCTCGATTTGATTGGCATGTCACCTGGGGCAATATCTCTTTTTACTATGTTAGTGGGCCTGTGTAAATTAGTATGTAAAAAGTCCTTATGTGGTCAACTGTATGCAGATGGAAGTGAGTGTGTAAAATCTACAGTATATAATAGTCGTAATATTTTTTATTGAAAAGTTTCAAGCTTTTGTAAGTGGATCTTTTCAGCTGTACCGTATATCTCCAAATGTCCACATAAGTTTAAGTAAGTATAGGTATGTAATTAATTTTTGACTCAGTTTCAGTTTTGAATATTTGGAAAAAAGTGAGTAAATCTGTTTGAGTCGTCTATTGAAGGTCTCGTCGGTTTCATTTTAACTTGTGCGCCCCATGTCATCCTACTGTCAAAGGTAAGTCGGAGATAGTCTGCGGTGTCTGTCTGAGGAATTTGGTTATCTTCAATATAAATTGGAGGGCATGCATTTCTGCGAAGTGTAAATGTAATGTGTTTCGATTCATTATGGTTTAGTCGAATTTTTCATAATTTTTACCAATCTTTTAACTTATCTAAGTGATGTTTTAATGTTAGCGAGGCTTGTGTAGAGTCTGAACGTTTTGTGAGAATTGCTGTGTCAGCACAAGTAGCAGTCAATGTATCAGTGTTACTCCCGGGCACGTTAGTAACATAACTAGTGTTACCTAAATGCAACACCAAGACGAGTCATTCTTGGTCATGGTCTTGGTCATGCTCAAGAGCCTCGAAATAGTCTTGCAGTTATCTATTAGCTGATTTATATGGAGATATTACTGCAATTTTTCTGGTAGATGGAACCTAACTAACGTGAACGAAAAATTAGAAGAGTTAAATGCAAAAGTATTGGGTTGTCACATAAGTCACAAAATGACATCAGCAAGACATTCGTAAACAATCTATAAATGGATGAAAAATAAAATAAAACGCTAGGGCCCCAAACCTCATTAGTCATTTGCAATAAATTATTGAGTGTTTGATGGGACTTTTTGCGCCACCCTCCCTATTCACCAGACCTATTTCCAAGTGACTACCACTCATTTCAGTCTCGGCAGTACTCTATGAATGGAAAGATATTCCAAAAGGTGTAGGACATCAAAAAGCACTTGGATCATTTATTTTAACAATAAACTCAGTAGGAGACTCAAAAGGAGCTGGATGAAGTATCTCCCTCAACAACGTCTTCCTCCATATTCTTCCTTCGATCAGTATAGTCGCTGGTTGTTGGTATTTCTGACATGTGTGCCTTGAAAAAAAAAAAGACTATTTTTATTATTACTATTATTAGGAAAAATGATGTAATATGTATGTAAGTTTTAAATTTTTAAAAACTCTTAAAAATACTATATGTAGTACCAAGGTATATTTATGTTCCAATAATTATCAGGTATATATTTCAATACGCTTGTTTTTTTCTTAATTTAATGAATGTAATAAAAAAAAAATTCTCCATTTCCAGGTTTTCGCACTTATTTGCCTCATTCAAGTAATCACAGCTCAGAGGCCTTACAATGATCTCAGAGGTAGGTTTTATGAATAATATAATTAAAAAATAAAAATAACGAATGAAAGAAATATGAAATATTATTTTATGCTAATGTTATATCATTTCCCAAATAAAGAAATGAACAGTGCTTAAGTGGGGGAATCTAACAGATCTGAAATACGCCTTCAATTCTGTACACTTTAACAGCCCTTTATCTTCTCACATATTAACCTCTTCATATAAGATATATATGAAATTTAATGCTCATTCAAATTGATTATAATAAATTTCTTCTTTCTTTAAAAATTATATGTTTTGAGGGATAAAAGAAAAAGGCATCTATTTACGGTTATGTAACCAAATACTTAATATTTTCTTACTCCTCATCCGTCGATCCTGAATTAAAAAAACACTTATAAAATTTATAGTAAATCTTTGTAATTTAATTCCGGATAGTCATGTAATCATTTTCAAAAAATGCATAGTTCGGAGTTATGTCCAAAAAAGTGCGAACATTTAACTTTTTTTTTGCATTTATGGCGGAACGTCGTCATTTCGTCATCGTCATTTCTTCGGTTTAATAAAACTTAAAATTTCTCCGCTATATATACATTTCTTTATATAAATCAACAGTTTTCAACCAATTGAACGAAGTTGTTCAGACAATGTTTATTTATACTTTACATTGGATTTTAGCTAAAAGTTCTTGAGTTAAAGAAAATGGTCAGCAGCTCCTATTGTACTAGGAGTACAGAAGTCACTTATTGGGGGGAGTATGACACGAATATTTTTTATTTATTAAAAATATTTTTAAAATTCTTTCTATATTTCTATAAGTGTCTAAGGGATCATTAGCTATTCTCCTCCATTTACCAAGAAACAGATCGACTGACACCGACGAGGAAACGGAAGAAGGGAGTAAAAGGAGCTTCTTGCACGAGGCAAGAAGCATTCAAAGCAACCTAAAAACGTTCCTCAAGAATTTTGACAAAAAAATGAATAACACAACGAGGAATTATATTAATGATAAAATCGAAAAATTAATTGATATTATTGAGGTTACTTACAATACAGCCAAGGAACTTAGATATCAATACAAAGAAGATACAATCACAACACTTGTCCAAAAAGTGGTTAAACAAACATTGGAATCTCCATATGTACTTGAACTCATCAGTAGCCAAATTTTGGAAAAACCGAAAACAAGGCAACCGGAGGAAGATAAGCCAATCCAGCATCCGCCTGCAGCCATAGCCGGAACTTCCAAGGAGGCAAACAATGCTTATTCTTGTAATCTAGACCAGAAGGAAAACAAAACCTTCGAAGTCGTTCAAAGCAAAAGAAGCAAGAGGAAATCTAAATTGCAGCAAAGAAGAAAAGACGAAATTCAGGATCAAGAAAATAAAGATGAGACACCAGTGCTTGGAAACATCCCTAAAAAAGATAAGCCAAGGACGATGGCAGATATCGTAAAATCACTGCCTATGAAGCCGACCCTGACAACAAAACCAACATATCTTACAATTAGTGGTTCGGGTAAAAGCCCAGCAGATATCATAAATGGACTTCCGTCACCTAATGACATAGGTGTAAATGCATCTATTGTTCGGGCAACTAAAGCAGGCTCAGTTTTGGTCCGCATAGAGGACAGCTCTCATGCAACCAGAGTGATAGGATGGCAGGGCCTGCGGGAGAACGGGTTACAGGCAAAGTTAGCGCTGAGGAAAAAGCCTAAGATGGAGGTGAGGGGTGTACCCCACTCCTGGGGCGCAGATGAACTTTCAAAATTTCTTTGGGAAAGAATACCCGAGAAGTCGGTCCCAACACCATTGATTAATGACGACATCCGACCTCTTTTTTCCTCAACTGCTAAAAACGGTTTTACTAAGAATTGGGTGCTGGAGGTGCACCCAATGGTTCGGTTCCAGTTTTTAGACATAGGTAGTTTGAATGGAGGGTGGTGGTCTTTAACATTTAAGGACTACCTCGACGCCCCTCGGTGCACAAAGTGTCAGGGCTACGACCACACAAAGGCCACATGCACGGCAGATGCTGTTGTATGTATTTGGTGTTCGAATAGTGGTCATATGATAAATGATTGCCCAAAGAAAAAGGTAATGGCTGACCCGACTTGTATTAACTGTGTGCGGGCGAACACCCATCCCAGCCAAATGAAGCACAAGTCGGGAAGCCGGGAGTGCCCTGTGCACTTAACGTGGTGCAAGGAGGTGGCTAAAAGGACATATTATGATTAAGATCAACATCCTCCAGTTAAACATGGGCCGGCGAAGAGTTGTGGCAGATGAGCTTCGTGCTCTTTCCCAACGATATGATATCATGGCGGTCCAGGAACCGACCTGCCGTGGGAACGTGGTCACAGGTTTTGGTCTCACGTCGAGGGTTATAGCTCTAGGCAGTGGAGAGAGGAGGCCTAGGGCTGCTATTGTGATAAACAATCCTAACCTCGACGTGATGGAGCTGAGGCAATACTCTATGGCAGATAGTGTGGCATGTTATATTAGGTGGGGTAATGTATCTTTTACCCTGGTTTCGGCCTATCTTCCTAACGGAAGAGATATTGAAGAAGACATTTCTGCCATGGAAGTTATCACAGCCCACTATAGAAATGTGATTATTTGCTCAGACACCAACTCCTGGAACACGGTCTGGGGGTCCAATCGAACAGACAGGAGAGGTGCTAAACTCAACGAGTTTATTTCTAGAGGCCAGCTAGTCGTCATAAACGATGTCTATGCCCCACCTACGTTCTCTGGAGGTATGGGTGAGAGCTGGATTGACGTCACGCTGGCCTCGCCGACACTTATAGGGCACATTGTCGATTGGACTACCAGATCTGAAACGAGTTCTGACCACAAAGTATTGGCATTCAGCCTGGTTCAGTACTCAGAAGGTTCCCACGGTATCAACACTGGCTACATAACCCGCAGAAATGACTGGACTGCTTTCCGTTGCATGTTGGAGGGAGAACTCGCCGATGAAGATTGGGAAGTAGCAGAATCGGAGATCACAGATAACCTGGACTACAGGGTATCCCTGGTCACCAATGCTATCCTCGATGCCGCTGAAAACTCCCTCCAACATCGGAAAGCGAGAGCTCGATCAGTTCCATGGTGGACGCCGGCCTTAACAACAATGAAGAGAGAGCTCTACAAGGCACGGCGGTCGTACCAGAAGTGCAGATGTGACGAGAGGCGCGCTGCACTTCGCAACGAGTATAAGTCCAAAGCCAAAGTATACCGAAGAGAGGTACGTTCACGAAAGCGTAGGTCCTGGGATGAATTTATTGCAGAAGAATCCTCGAAGAATCCTTGGGGTATCCCATACAGAGTCGCTATGGGTAAGTTCAACCCTCCGCAGACAATAGCAGCTCTTAAGTATGGAGATGCGCAGGCAACCACCTTCGAGGAAGCGGCTAACATCTTCATAAAGGCGACATACCCCAGAGATGATCCATCCCAGGACAATGAGGAGGAAGCTTTCGTGCGACGTTCTACGTTATACCCTCCTGGCACGGACTTATGCCCACCGTGGGACATACATGATCTACGTATTGCCGTGGAAAAGCAGAGAACAGGACGTGCTCCAGGACTCGATTCAATAGACGCGGCGATCTTAAAGAACAGTATCCCCTACATTGATGAGCGATTATTGAGGATTTTCAATGATTGCCTGGATCGGGGATACTTTCCAAAAATGTGGAAGATCGCCGATTTGAGACTCCTCTACAAGGGAGGAGGCAGGGATAAGCAGCTCCCAAAGTCATATAGACCTATATGTCTCCTCCCTATAATGAGCAAGGTCCTGGAGAATCTCATCTTAACCAGCCTACGACCAGTTCTCGCAAGGGCTAGCCATCCGCGGCAATACGGTAGTACCAAGGGAAAGGGAACCGCTGATGCCCTGCTTCGAGTACAAGCGGACGTTGAACAGAAGGCTGAGCGGTATGTCATGTTGCTGCTTTTTGACATATCCTCCGCCTTCGATAGTGTCTGGTGGCCGCGAGCACTTCAGCAGCTACAGAAGTACGATGCCCCCAGCAATCTATACGTCCTCATAAGTAGTTATCTCCAGGACAGATTTGTTAAGGTCAGAGGTAGCTCTTATGAAACTGAAGCTTCCATAGAGAGGGGATGCCCTCAGGGATCAGTCCTTGGTCCGACTCTATGGAAGCTAGTGTTTGATGAGTTGCTGGGTGTGCTCGAAAATGAGCGGTTCCCTGCTACGGCTTACGTCGATGACTTGGCGGCAGTGGTAGCGTCAAACAGCAGAGCCGGAATAAAGCTACAAGCAGAGCGGTGCGCCAATCTGGTCGGGCAATGGTGTGAGGAGATGAAGTTACGAATGGCCGCATCAAAGACCCAGGCGATCCTGCTGAAGGGAAAGACGGATAGGGCACACCCTATCAATCTGTGTATACAAGGAACGAGAATACGTCCAAGTGAGGTGGTCACCTACCTTGGCATAAGGTTTGGAAGAGGATTTAATATGACCCCTCATTTGGACTACTTAGGAAGTAGGGTGGCCCTAGCCTTGAATGGACTTAGTCGCCTAGGGGGTGCATTTTGGGGCCTCAGATACCCAGCTACGAGGATCATTTACGATGGAATGATAGTGGGTATTCTGAGGTACGCCTCTCCTGCGTGGTCTCAGAATCTCTCACACCGTCAGAAACGCAGATTGGCGACAATTCAACGTACGGCTCTGTTGCGAGTCACAAAATCATACCGAAGTGTGTCTCACGAGGCGGTGCAGATCTTAGCAGGAGGGGTACCTCTCGACCTTCTCCTGCGAGAAGACTCGCTAATATTTAAGTTAAAAAGAGAAGGCTCAGCAGGTCTTCCGGAGAATATCCGGGTGAGGATTGCAGAAGACCCAAGAAAATGGAAGAGGATTATCCGGGAAGACACCATAGATGAGTGGAATCGGCGGTGGGTAACAACGTTGAAAGGAGCAACTTTAAGAAAATATTTCCCCACCGTCCGAAGTCGCTTGAAAGCTAAGTGGGTTCTCCCGGAC